TAATTTTTTAATACATTGTCACCACCACTCCTAGGCAGTCGCACTTTAGGGCGTTTTAGGCAAGCAACTATTGTGCACCTAGATGGAGAAACAGCGATTGCCTGCATGGTAAAAGAGTGCTTTTTTTTTGGGCAAACATGCGATGATTTTATCAAGCTAAGGGATGACAGAGACTCCGAGTCATAGCAAATATTTTTACATACAAAAGATTTAATTTAATTACCATAATGAAATTAGTTTCAACCGAAAATATGTATTGCTTGGGCACATTGTTTAACTTATAAACAGTTTAGTCTATGGACATGACTTGTTATTGCACCCAACTAGATTTATCTTCTGACTTCATAACAACTTTATAGATAAATGTTTTATAGTAAATGTTTTAGATAGAATTTGCAAATTACCATGTCACCTTACCTTGTTTGAAGCTCAGTTCATTTATTATAAATCATGTCACTATGATTGCAGAACAAAAGATTTGACATGAACTGTCCATGCAAATCTTGATAAATAAATACACATTTGTTGTTCAAGCATTATAATGTTGTCAAGCATCTTATGAGAACGATACAAAAATTTCCCAAGTCAGATGGTGAGAAAAGATCCATGCAAACAATATGAAAATGTCAGGATTTATGGCTTCTTGCTGTTGTGTATAATGTATATATGTTGACAATCTGTTATATTGAATCTTAGCTATATTCACTTTAGGCACCTACCTAGCTATCTTGTCATACACTGAATCATCAACAACCAAATTTTGTAATGGACAGAAATGCTAAAGCTGAATTTCTAAAGTCAGAAGTAATACACTGAATCATCAAAAAGAAAAAGGTAATATGCCCTCATAACCAACCAGTATGCAATAGTACAGATTGGCTGAATGAAAATTGGCAAAAGTAGTACGGAAACAAGAAACCACTTTAAAAAATTTAGAATTTCAACCTAATTGGTATGAGGATTACAAGACATTGTGGAAGTGCAGTGCTATTATTTTGAATTCAGAATTTGGAAGAAAATGGTGAAGTC